TCATGGATTGATATGCCAAGGAATACAATAGAATATCTACATGGATTAAATAAATTCTTAAATTTTGCTTTTGAAAATCAATCTGTCAATGGTGCAATAAGGTGTCCATGTCCTAAATGTCATTTTAGTAAATGCAAAACTAGAGATGTTGTGTTTGACCACTTGATTTGTAAGCAATTTCCAAAAAATTACAAAGTTTGGATATGGCATGGTGGCATATGAAACAATGGCTTCAAGGGACACTGAAGTAATAGACGAACAGTTGGAAAATGAAAATCCAGTGTTAAATATGATAAATGATGCATTTGGGATCAATAGACACACTGAAGTTGAACATGATATGTATGAAGGACCATCTGAGTTTGTAGACACTACAATTGATGAAGAAAATGAGAAAGTTGATGATTTTCTTAGAGATTGTAACCAACAATTGTATCAAGGGTGTCAACGGTACTCAAAGTTGTCTTTTCTATTAAGGCTATATCATATAAAATGTTTATGTGGTGTGATTGACAAAGCGATGACAATGATTTTAGAGTTATTGAAAGATGCATTTGAATATGCAAACATTCCTAATTCATTTTATGAGGCTAAGAAGGTGAATTACAAGCTTGGTCTCAATTATACTAAGATAGATGCTTGCCCAAGAAATTGCATGTTGTATTGGGGGGAAGATAAAAATTTGGAGACTTGCAAACATTGTAAAAAATCTCGATGGAAACAAAAAGGTAATAATGGTAAAAAGAAACTACCAGCAAAGGTCTTACGATACTTTCCCTTAAAACCAAGGTTGCAAAGGTTATTTATGTGTTCTAAAACAGTAAAGTCCATGAGATGGCATGCTTTAAATAATAACCCAGATGGATTATTGAGGCATCCAAGAGATGGCAAAGCATGGAAGTATTTTGATCAATTTCACCCTGAATTTGCTTTAGAACCTAGAAATGTTCGCCTTGGTCTTGCAACTGATGGTTTCAATCCAAATAGAACCTTGGGTAATAGCTATAGTATATGGCCGGTAATTCTAATTCCATACAATCGACCTCCTTGGGAATGCATGAAGCAAACTTCTTTGATTCTTTCTATGATCATCCCAGGTAAAAAAATGCCTGGGGATAAGATTGATGTGTACCTACAACCTTTAATCAAAGAACTAAATGAGCTATGGGTTGAAGGTGTGGAAACTTATGATTCTTCTCTAAAAGAAAGCTTCACTATGCGAGCAGCTCTCATGTGGACAATCAGTGATTTCCCTGGGCTTTGTACTTTATCTGGGTGGAATACTTATACTGGGTATGCATGTCCGACTTGTAATTTTGATACTTTTCCTTGTCGATTAAGAGGTAGTTATAAATGGTGTTTTATGGGACATCGACGATTTTTGGAGAGGGGTCATAAGTTTAGATTGATGAAAAATCATTTTGATGGCACAATTGAAGAAAGGGATGCACCAAGATTATTGTCTGGGTCAGAAATTTTGAAGCAAATTGATAATTATTTAAAAGACCTTGAGTTAAATAGTAAAGGGAAACGAAATCGTGAAGAAAATAGACCAAAGCAGTGGAAAAAGAAAAGCATATTCTTTAATTTGCCTTATTGGAAGTTGAGTTAAATAGTAAAGGGAAGCGAAATCATGAAGAAAATATACCAAAGCAATGGAAAAAGAAAAGCATATTCTTTAATTTGCCTTACTGGAAGGATAATCTTTTACGTAATAATCTTGATGTCATGCATATTGAGAAAAACGTTTGTGACAATGTGTTGTATACATTGATTAAAGATGAAAAATCAAAAGATCACCTTGAAGCTCGTCAAGATCTACAAGATATGGGAATAAAAGAGGATTTTTGGCTAGATGAAAATGGAAAATATCTTCCTTTATTGTTTTCAATGACAAAAGAAAAAAAGAAGATATTTCTAACTACATTAAGGAACGTAAAAATGCCAGATGGTTACTCTAGTAACATATCTCGTTGCATTGATGATCAAAACTCTAAGATATTTAGGTTGAAGAGTCACGATTGTCACATCCTCATGCAACATTTACTTCCACTAGCTATACGTAATGTTTTACCTGATAGTGTGACTACAGTGTTGGTAGAGTTTTGCTCATTTTTCAAGGAGTTATGTTGTAAAAGATTGAATATATTAAATCTTGACAGGCTACAATATCGGATTGTGCTCACTCTTTGTCATTTGGAAATACTATTACCCCCATCATTCTTTACAGTGATGGTCCATTTAACTTGTCATCTTGTTGAAGAAGTGAAATTGGGAGGGCTAGTGTATTATCGTTGGATGTATCCAATTGAGAGGTAAATGTGTTTTGTTATGCTTATCTAACGTTTTTAAAGAGTATTTTAAATAATTATTGTTTCCTTTATGATAGGATGTTGGGACATTTGAAGTCCTTTGTACGAAATAGGGCACAACCAGAAGGTTCTATAAGTGAAGCTTATTTGGCCGAAGAGACTCTTAATATTTACTCACTATATGAAGAAGTTGAGTCAAGGTTGAATAGAAGTCGACGTGTTGATGATCGTCCTAATGATAATGAAACATCTCAAATCATTTATCCTCAGTTAGGTAGACCAGTGGGAAGCTCATCAACTTTCACTCTTACCCCATTGGAAAAAATACAAGCACATCGATATTTATTACTAAATTGTCCAAAAGTTCAGTCATATGTGGAGTAAGTATTTAAATATATTGTATGTGATATTCTTTTATGGTAGTGATTTAACATGATATTCTTTTATGGTAGTGATTTCAAGACATTCACTAAGAGGAAGACAAGAAATCGAAGGCTTTCAACTATAGAGTTGGAAAAGATAGTTAGTAAAGAATTTGCGAGTTGGTTTCTTCATCGGGTATGTTCAAAACTAATTTCATGTGAAAATTATAATGCACTAACACAACATCAATGTATTTAGGTTACAAATCCAGACATTACAAATGTAGTGCCAGATGAAATAAAGTATTTAGCTAGGGGCCCAATGCCAATTGCAAGAAGATATACGGCATACAACATCAATGGGTACAAGTTTAGAGTCATAAAATGAGATGAAGGCTTAAAAACTCAAAATAATGGAGTTTTTCTAACTTCAAACACATCATGTGTTGCAAGTAGCTCTGATGCAAATTTAAGGCTAGCAGATTTGCCGTATTATGGGAAGTTGGAAGACATAATTGAGCTTAATTATTATGGTTTTCTTAGAGTTGTTCTCTTTAGATGCAAATGGGCAGATACTACACGCCCAAGAGGAATTAGAAAGGATGCTTGGCAATTTACTTCAGTGAATTTTTCTCACTGTATTCACACAGGTGAACGTGAAGAACATGACCCCTATATTGAAGCTTCACAAGCACAAATGGTGTATTATGTTGATGATGAGGTAAATAAAGGGTGGAGTGTTGTTGTCCACATGATGCCAAGAGATTTGTATGATATGGGAGAAGTTGGGGAAGATATTATATTTGAAAGTGAGTCGTATCATGAGCAGGACTTGAGTAATTTATTTACAAATGAAACAGATACAATAACCTTGGCAAGGGATGATGTAGATGATGAAAACCAATTTCAAGGAGATGCAAATATAATTGAATAATTAAGACAAATATCACAAACTAATTTATTTTATGGTAAGAATTAGATTTTGTTTTTAATTTTTACTCATTAATTTCTCTTGTTAAACACTTATTGCAGTTGTTTGGTGTGCTTAAAGAGTCACAATTGTTAGTTTTTACCTATTATTAATACTAGTTGTTTGCTGAATATTTCTTTTAAAGGTGAATTTCTATTCTTATTAAACAAATATGGTTGACTTTAGAAGAATGCTTTTAATTCCTACTTTTTATTACAGGTCCAAAGTTGTACTCAATAGTAGTCATGCATCCTAAATTCAAGCATTTTAAAAAAGAAGCATCTCAAAGACATTCTTTCATCCCTCCTTTGGCTCGTACTCAACATTCGCACATTCCTCTTATAACTTCTTTTCAAGAACCACACATTACACCTATGGCTCCTCCTCAACAGCAACATATTCCTCCTATAGCTCCTCTTCAACAACCATACATTACACCTATGGCTCCTCCTCAACAGCCACATATTCCTCCTATAACTCCTCTTCAACAACCAGACATTACACCTATGGCTCCTCCTCAACAGCCATATATTCTTCCCATGGTTCCTCCTGAACAGTCGCATATTCCTCCCATGGTTCCTCCTGAACAGCTGCATATTCCTCTCATGGTTCCTCCTGAGTGTCGCCACCGGCCCGAAACGGGCTTTCGGCATTCGCGAATGATGGTTGGACTCTTTTATTTGTTTTGAAAAGTATGGATTGCTAGAATGACGTATTCTCAAACTGAGACCTTGTCAAACGAACAATTTTATTAAATGATTCACCAATCCATATTAATCCCAAGCGGGACCCTCCATGGATTAGTGGTTTTCGCAAAAGGAGGGTTCTTTGGAGTCGCCACCAATGTTTTACTCAAAACATTGGAAAAAGGGATAAGGCAATCGATTCAAAAATCGACTTCGGCCATTACAACCAGAGTCGGGTAAGGGAGTCGGTTACGCGTGGGGAAGGTGTTAGCACCCCACAGCGCCCCTTTCGGGTTCCCTATGACAGATTATTTCTAAAATAATAGCGTAAAATTACTAAATTACCCCTATTTATTCTAAGCAATTATAAATTAACTATCTACATGATGACAGTTTAAATATGCACACAGAAAGCAGTAAAAGGAAGGATTTAAGAAGAAACCTCTTGAAGCGTGCTTTTATATATTGAGTAAAACTGGGAAGCTTTTTGGCGTTCCCTCGCTCTACAAGCTCGCTCGCTCCCTCCTAGAAAATTTTAACTATGGAAATCCGGAGGATTTCCCTTCGACTAGGTTCGAATCTCCAAGCTAAGTGCTCGGAATTCCAGAACTTCGTCGGATCGACTCCCAGAGAGATTTCTAGGGCAGAACACTGCTCAAAAACCCCAGAATACTCAAGGAGGGAGTCAAAACTGAGTGTAAAAGTGTGGAATGACGTCCAATTGACGTCATATTTATAGGGAATAGGCGCAATACGGCCTACAGGAGCAATACGGCCGTATTGAAATTTTTGAACTTCAATACGGTCGTATTGAAGTTCAATACGGTCGTATTGAAATTCAGAAATTTCAATACGCCCGTATTGAGTTCGCTGCGGTTGTATTGAAGTGTCAATACGGTCGTATTGACTTCAGTACGACCGTATTGAAGTGTCAATACGGTCGTATTGACTTCAGTACGGCCGTATTGAAGTTTCAGAAACTTCAATACGCCGTATTGAGTTCACTGCGGCCATATTGAAGCTTCAATACGGCCGTATTAAGTTTAGTACGGCCGTATTGGGCTTCATTCCCTCCACTTCCTTATTTTAAGCTATTCTAAGACCTCTAGACCTACAGAGAACCCTCCTAGGGCCTTCCAGGAGTCCTTCTGGCTGATCTTCCTTCAGTCTTCGAGAGTCTTCAAGCTTTATTTCCGACCCAGACAATTTTAGGGGTCTACACTGAGCAGCCACTTGCACCTACTCAACGACCACGTGTAGGTCGTGAGTCAAGTAGGGTATGGACTGTACAAGTCATAGGTAACATTATTTTTCTATTTTACTATACAACAATTATATCTCTTATGAAAACTTTTATATAAGCTATGTCACATTTTGACAGATGAGCAAGGAAATACAAAAAAGACTAAGTTGACAAAATCAGGAGTATTTGAGATGCCACGTGGTGAACGTATTGTTGTGCCATTTGATAGGCAAAAACGAGCCTATGGAGAAGCAACGACACTTCTTTTAGGAGCTTGTGGGCGTATTTGCACTGATTCAAAAATATTCCCATTAACTTTGATAGTTGGATAAAAGTTCCAAAATCATATAAGGATGATTGCTTTAACACTTTAAAGGTACATGCTTAAGTCAAATTTTATGGTCATTTTTTTTTTGTAATTATGATATACTAACATGTGTTTTTCTTTTTGTTTAAAGAATCTATTTCATTTTCAGGCTTCAGAGTTGATTGCTAAGCGTTATTGTTCACTTGCCATGTCAAGAAAGTATAGGAATGCAAAGATGAATATGTGGAACCGTGTTTATGACCCTTCATTGTCAAGAGAACAGTTAATTGCTAAAGTTCCTGATGGTATTCATAAAGATCAATGGTCATCATTTGTTGACTATCATCTAAGGCCAAATTATCAGGTAGTTTTAACAAATATTTATGATCATTAATTATTTTTTCAGCTTGACATTTTAATAAATAATTTTTTTTTCATAGGAATTGTGCAAAAAAAATACTAAAGCAAGAAAAAAGCAAACGATTCCACATACTGGTGGTGCAAAAATGTTGTCTATGAAACAACATGAGATGGTAAATTTTGGTCTTCATTTATTGAGCTTCAATAAAGAATTATTTATATTGTTCATTTGGAGTTACATTGTCATTTCTATTAGGAACAAGAGCTTGGACGTGTTGTAGGTCTAGGTGAACTATACATTGCAACTCACAAGAAAAAAGATGGGTCTTATGTCAATGAGGAGGCAAAGTCTATTGGGTATGTTGCAAGTAAATTTGAATTGAACATATTAATTATTAATCGCCTTTTACACACAATTGGCTGGTTGAGAAATATTAATTAATCTACATATAGTATCTTTATATTCATAATTCATTTTCCCAAATCAAAATTCATTTAAATTTTTTTAATACACACATAGAAGTCTTTTGAGAATGTGTTTATAAAAAATAAAGAGTATTTTCTGAAAAACGTTTTTAAACTTATATGAATTGTGAATGTGTTTTCATTTTCCATTTTAGTTGTTTGCACTATAGCAAAGGAAATTTTGAAGAGAGGATTTTAGTTGTCTGATCAGAATTTCATATGGCATGTATATGCATAGCGTGGTCCCTTAAAAAATCTCTACAAGATTGTATGTTTTGTTTGGAGCAATTTATATGAACATGAAATGGATGTGCATGAATTATGATTTAAATTACTAGGTAGTTCCCAATTTGACTATAATAAAAAAAATGGGAAGCATATCTGATATATCCCAAACATTTTTTTCTACTGCATTAATTATGTGTAATTTGTCAACCCCATCCGAGTGATATCTGAGTATGTCTTTTGTACCATTTCCTAAATTTTCTTCTAATTTCTGAATTTTGAGCCTGCAATACACTGTTGAGTATTATATCTTACCCTGCTGGCCTTCTTGATTAGATGGCTTCTAAAATTGAAGAAACAATTTCATACATTGACAAACTAGTCTGAGTCCTTTTATAGAATTCAAATCCAATTTCTCTTGCTGCAATTACGAATGCTGATTCATCTGGAGATTCAGTGTCATATGAGACATTTCTTGTCTCTTCATCAACTTCTGGTATGGCTGTATGGCAGATAGCCAACAAGCGAAAAAAATTCCTGATAATATTTGCATTAGTCTCATTAACCCATTTTCCATTCATTATTCTTTCATCTGTAAAGTTAAAACCTTTGATGGGTACATTTCGGTCGGGAGATTCCCCTAGGTTGTCAATCAAAGCAGGACCATTTTTTCTACTCATTGTCCTCTCAACCTCCGTAACACCACGACCATAAGCTACCCCAGCAATGGAACATTTGATGAACTCCATCGAGTTGCAGGTCAGAGTTCCAGTTTTATCAAAAAGTATTGTGTCAACTTGGCCAAGTTCCTCATTCAAGTTTGAAGTACGGGCATGGGCTGGTTTGTCTGCATCTTCATAGTACATATGGATATCTTGATTGATGAAGATGCTCTGAAGGACTTTGACAATTTCTATTGAAACATATAATGAGATGGGAATGAAGAAACCATATAACATTAAGGCTGTCAAACAATGATATATAGCAGCAGCAGGTGCTCTTTTAGGATCAAAGAAAATTGTAGAATCATCTGGTCTTAAATACCACCTTTTCATCACTCCATTGTCCAAGTCATCTTTAGTTGTAAAGCCAAAGAAAATAGATCCAACAACTTCCATTAGAAACAAAATGCAAAACATGAAGTAGATAACCCTATCCATCTTCTTCTCAACCTTTCTTCTCTTTGAAGGGGGGTCAGTGGAATTTTGAATGACCTTCGTGTCATGACCAGTGAAGATGACAACTCCAAATACATAGTCTGTGTTACGAAGTTTAGAGTCTCTCAAAAGAAGTTGTTGAAGAGAAAGGGGATATTGTTGTTCTTCATACTCCATGCTCCCAACAAATGAATAAATTTTCATTTGGATCTTCACATTTGACTGTAGCTTTAAAATCACCGAAATGAAAGTCCTCGTGAAAGGAACAGGTTACTTCCAACCCTTATTTTAACTTCAAATTTGTCTCTCCATCCAAGTTCATAGTCTCTACATAGCAGACTGCATCCTCATAACAGGATGAAAGTAATAGGAGGTCTGCAGGGAAGAATTCATCCTTCATTATCTTCACTATATGCCCTACCTTCAGATTCTTCCACTCAGTATATTCAAAAGTTCCATGTCCTTTATGCATTTTAACTCTTCTATTATTTACTTCAATATCCTGCAGCAGGATTCCACTAGCTAGGTTATAAACTCCAACAAAGCAAATCATTATTGCTTTAGTTTCTCTTAATATAAAATATAAACAACAAGATTATTGACTCAAACTAGTTTGTCAATGTATGAATTTTAAGAACTCATTCATGTTTTTTTCAGGAGAAGATGTCAACAGAAATGTGTCAAAGTGACAACTCTAATGAAATTTCAACTAATGATAGTCTTAGTAAAGTGTTGGGAAAGGATCATGCTGGATGTGTACGTTGCTTGGGATTAGGAGGTCTACATAGTGTGGCATTTCAATCATCCACAAGATTTAGTGGTGTAGGGTGCAGTTCTTCAAATTCTGATTCCACTGAAAATTCTCAACTGAAAAAGGAAGTAATTAGTTTGAAGGGTCAATTGGCAAATTCTCAAGAAAATGTCAAGACATTAAAAAATGTCATGCTTGCTTACATACAAATGAAGGAAGGACATATTCCTACTGAGTTAGAGGCTATGTTTGGTAGTGGTAGTAGTAATGTAGCGGTAAGTGTTTTTATATGTTTTTGCACTAAATTAAATTATATTAATACTTAATTAAAGTTTAATATTTTTTTTTGCATATTTTATTATTAAGGATAACATTAAATAATTTGTATTTTATAGGATGAAGGGAGTGGACATGACATGCCAACACCACAAGGAGGATCTTCATTAGATAGTAATGTTCATGGAGTTTGACATTATTATTGTTTTTTTTTGTTAGACATGATGAACTCATGAATTTGAACCTATTTTTTTATATTTGAAGCAAGATTAACCAAATTGATGTATGCATCATATACTTCATAGACATCACAGCAGCAAGCAACGGCAAGGAAATATATCCAAAATTTGAACTTACGAGTTCAATTCAATTACTGTGTCAGCTTTTCTGGCTTCTAAAGCACATACATGCTTTATTTCAATTTTAAAAAGTAATTTACCAAGATTGAGATACGTGGATATTAGGTAGTATATGATAAGGACCTACCATTGTGAGCATAAACAACAACTTCCTGCAGTATTAGTTACTATTTTAATAGATTTATCTGATCTGGAAAATATATGGTATGTATTTTACATGTCTATCAATATTCTCCTGATCATAATCTAACCAGACTTGGACAATCAAAGTCATCTGCTTAATTTTATATGGCTATCAACATTGTAGTTCTCCTTTACAATAAATGTAGACCAATAGTAAAAACAGCAAGTCCAGATTGTCCAAAAAAAGTTAAATACATATAGTTGATTATTCACACTTTTTCCAATTCCAAGATATTTGGAAGCTTTTGAGGGATCAACAAAACAAAAATAACAATAAGTGATCCTAAAATTCGACAAGTAAAATTTTAATTATAAGTTACTTGAATTAAATAACAATATAATAGTCATTATTAATTTTCAATGATTAATATGGTTAGTGACAATTTTAAATAATAATTTGATAAATACCTAAAAAATATATATTATTATTTATCAATTTCTAATAAAAATGCGCTTTTAAAATAATTCCAAATATATTTCAAAATAAAAAATGATAATAATTTTGTGGCGGTTTAAAACACCGACAAATGTTAAATCAAGCAAAGTTTAGATGAATTTTATGGGGGTTTTAAAATGCCAGAAATATTGAATCAAGCAATTTTTAGACGAATTTTGTGGCGGTTAAAACCCCCAGAAATGTTAAATGAAGTAAAAAACTTAGATGAGCTTTGTGGCGGTTTTTAAACGCTAGAGATTGAATTTTCTGACGCCTAAAACCAGCGTTTACAAAATCTGCGCCACAAATCGTTTTTGGCGACCGTGGACCTAGCAGGATGCCGGTAATGCGATTTGTGGCGGGTTTTAACCGCCAGAAAATGCCAAAATAACCGCCACAAATCACACATTTTTTGTAGTGAACAGTGTCTTATTTTGGGTATATGGGATCGTGGGGACTGGGGTTAGTAACGTCAATCGTGAAACAATAATATGATGAAGCATGAGTCACTGGCTCGAACTTGCCAATAACCTTATAACTATAGGCTCAATTTGTATGCTTAGAAAACATCCTTGTCTTGTAAAATAAGTTTTCAAACGTTTGTTGGTTTTATGTTAATATATTTTATCCTTGGGAATACAATACACAAGATGAGTTTTTTTTTTTTTTTGTATAGTATAACTGTTTAAGATTTTACTAAATACTTTTAGCTAACATAAACATTTCACAAGTTAAATATTAATTATATATAACTAAATTTTATAATAAAGTATACCATCTCTAATCTTAATTATAAGCAACATATTAATTTTTCTTTATTCTTAATTATGACTAACAATCATTGATTTTTAAAGTTATTAAAGATGTCTTTTTCTTCTTTTTTTTTTTTGTTGAAAACAAGGGCTAAAAAGTCCAAGAATATTAATAATCACAAAAAAACATAATAGAGTTTACATTTGCAAAACAACATTCCAAACAACAAAAGATACAACATCAAATATTTTCGATTGACCATTTAATGAAAAACCAAAATTAGTTTGTATAATTGGAACTTGATTTGCTTTCCTCAAAACATGCATCCAATGAAATGTGCCTCCTTTGTTTACCATCTCTTTAATATTTTGCAAATGCTCAATGGAGGATGGTATGAAGAACACCCTTTAGTGAGTAGATTAATT